CTCTCCATCCCTGTATTTAAAGTTGTTCAAAGCAAGGAAACTCCATCCCCCTCCCAGCTCTGCAATCCCCCAGATTCCCCCCGATTCACAAAACAGACTGAAGTGTCCTAATCCAGAGCTTCCAAGACCATTTACTCTCATCCCTCGATGGAGCTCCAGGAGGCAGAGCGGCTCCTATCCCAATTCTGCCGGTTTTAGCGGATCTGGGAGCTGGAGTTTGATTTCACTCTGGTGCAAAGGATCCCTCTCTCCATTTCCCACTCCACCTCCAAACCCGGAGCTGTTTTCCACGTTTCAAGAGGATTTCATGGCTGGCTCCGTGGCTTCCTCAGCCCAGCTTTCCCTGAGGTGTTCCCACCTCCTTCATCTTGGGATCTCAGACAATAAATCTGGCTCAGGACCAGCTGTTTCTGACACCTGCATTTCGCAGCTGTCAATTTGTAGCCCATGAAAGCCTCATCTAAAAACATTCTGCATCCTTGGATTCCACATTCCTTATTCCTAAAGGCCTGGGAATTTTAGTTTCTTTAAAAAAAGGGGGGAAAAGGGAACTTTTTTAAAGTATGTATCACAGAGAGCCAATTCCACAACACGATAAATGTTATAAAATAATGAAATACAAAAATGAGTGGGAGGAGCAATTCCAGGAGGATTGTTGATATAATCCTGCAAGAAGAAAGTCGATTACACGGCCAGGATTGTTCTCCTGGATTAGGAATGGTTTAATTGTTCTCCTGGATTAGGAATGGGAAAGACTGTGCCCATTGTAAAATGGGCTTTAGAGCAGAAAGGCAGGGAAAGAGATTTATCATGCAACTGCCAAATCAGGGAATCCTGGAATATCCTGAGCTGGAGGGATCCTAAGGATCATCCAGCCCAACTCCTTCCCTGCCCAGACCCCCCAACAATCCCAGCCTGGGCATCCCTGGCAGCGCTGCCCAAACGCTCCTGGAGCTCCGGCAGCCTCGGGGCCGTGCCCATTCCCTGGGGAGCTTTTCCAGAGCTCATTCCACCCTCTGGGGGAAGAACCTTTCCCTGAAATCCATCCTAAACCTCGTTGGCACATCTGAATTTTCTCCAGTTCCCTGAGCCTGACTCCCACTCGGGACACTTTGGATCATTTCATCCCTGCTCAAGCCAAGCCTCAGCTGCCCAGTCTGGGCTGGGTTTGAGCTGTCGGTCCCAGCTGGATCCACAGGAACTGGGAATCACCTCTGCAGGGGAGCAGGGAGCGGGAGCAGCTCCACACAGACACACACATCAGGGTTTGGGGTTCTGCTGATTGTGACAATATTCAGTAAAGAGAGAAATGAGGGGAATTGTGAGAGGAGCGGCTGAGGGCACCGGGGTTGTGCAGCTGTAGACTGAGGGGAGACCTCGCTGTGGTCTTCATCATCCTCCCGAGGGCAGCTCCCATTTCAGTTCCCTGGGACAGGGACAGGACCAGGGAACAGCTGGAGCTGGGCCAGGGATGGGGCTCAGGCTGGAGATCAAGGAAGGTTCTTCCCCCAGAGGGTGGAATGAGCTCTGGAAAAGCTCCCCAGGGAATGGGCACGGCCCCGAGGCTGCCGGAGCTCCAGGAGCGTTTGGGCAGCGCTGCCAGGGATGCCCAGGCTGGCATTGTTGGGGGGTCTGGGCAGGGCAGGGTGGGGCTGTGTCATCCTTGGGATCCTTGGGATCACTTCCCACTCAGAATATTCCATGAATCTCTGCCATCAAGAACAGACCATCCTTTAGAGCTTGTCTGAATCTCAGATATTTTCACCAAGTCATTCCAAATCCATCCTTGGGAATGAAGACAACACAGGAGCCACTCCTCAATTTTATATTCTCACTTGGATAACTCTGATTATATTCCAGTCAGAACAATGAAAGAAAAGCAGGAATAACACTAACATTTCCTAGGAATTCTCCCTCTGTGATGCACAAATGGAATGTTTGTCCATGAGCCGAGCAGCCCAATTTCAGATACAAAACTCCCAAAGAAATCTCTTCTTTTTTAAGGAAAATCAATCTGCGTGGCTAAAAATGTCAAAGAAATTACTTTAAACACCGCCACAGTTTTTTTATGGAGTACCCAGTGGATTAATTGACTTTGTCATTAGGTTTTTTTTGTCATCAATTAAGGTTGTCATTAATTAAAGAGATTCTTGTCCAGTGGAGTCAATGAAGGAATTTGTGCTGGGAATCGATAGGCCACGAACCACGCAGTCAGGAGCTGTTTATTTTTTATGAACATATCTGAGCACACAAGGAATCAATCTTTAATCATCCCAGAGGATCAACTCCTCAGGAAATCCAGAATTCCAGGGCTTTAAGAGAATAGCGTTTTCCAGGAAAAGACATGGAATAAACCTCCTTTTATTGGCAGCACCAGGGTGGTTCCAACTTTCTGGAATAAAAATCTGCCCTCATTTACAGCCCCCTTTTGTTTTTCTGTCTCCTTTGGGCACACAGATTCCTAAATATTCCAAGGAAAAGAGGAGTCCTGTCCCAGAGAAACCTCCTGTGCTCCAAGTTGCCTGAGAGTGGATATTCCCTGCTTAATTAATTACAGGATAATGCAAATAAATGCCCCAGGGACTGCTCCCATCTTTCCTTGGAGCTTCATAAATATTCCCAAACCACTGGAAAATTGTTTTTCCAGCTTGGCCAAAGCCAATTCCCCACTTGAGTTTCATCCTATACTTTGTGAGGGAAAGGGCTTCGATAATGAGACTTTTTTCCCTTCAAAAATTCCTTTTCCAACCAAATCCTGGTTCTTACAGATATTCCAGCTTGGGACATAGGAATTGAGGCCCAGGATTGTGTTGTATGGTTGTTTCTTGTGGATTTTCCCTTGGAAGCCTCAGTCTTGGCTTTTTCATGGAAAACAGCACAGGCTCAGTGTTAGGGATGAGCTGCACCGGGAATTTTGGGAAGTGGGGTTGAGGATTTGGCTCTTTCCCTTCCAGGGGAGCTGAAGTGATTCCCAGATCTCCAAGGGAAAAAGTCTTGGATGCTTCCAGCTTGGAATCAGAGCATCTCCAGTTCAGTGTTGGAGTTTCCAGCACCCCAAGACGGTATAGGAATTAAATCCTTTTTTCAGGACGTCCTGGGTTCCATTTATTTTCAGTTATTTCCATATTTTTCAGCCCAGGTTGTCAGTGTTTCCCAAATTTGGGAAGCAGCTCCTGGAATTATGGAAATTATGGATTCATTTCTAATGCTGGGTTGGCTTTCCAAGTGGGAAAAATAAAGTTGGGTGTGGCAGATCCTGAATTTCTTTATTTAAATCAATATATTTATATATTTATTATTTATGTATTTGTATCTTGATATATTGACATATTTCAAATTTTATTGATGCATGTTGATTAAATATCTTTATTTTATATATTGTTATTTGCCCATTTTTTGTTTATATTTGCCCATATTTATGTTTATATATTTATATACTTACATACTCACATATTTATAAAATATATATTTATTTATTCCACAGCAGAGCTGGAAAATCAGGCTTGTTTTCCATCCAACACAGAGACAATTTTCTGTTGTTTTGGGTTTTTTATTCCCCCCTGGTTTCCATGGTGAAAAATAAGGATTAGACCAGAGCTGGTGTTGATTGCGAGGGAAAAAAAAAAAAAAAATCAAAATCTGTGTTGCTTCCTATGGAGAAATATCAATATCCAACCCTGGCTTTGGAGGGATAATCCTGCAAGGAAAAACCAAATTGTTTTCCTTTCCAAAAGGAGAAAATAATGGAGATTTTATTGCTTCTGGAAGGAAGGGCAAGAATTCAAAGCAGAGGCTGAATTCAATAGAAATTCACGTCTGGTTTGGATAATTGCAAATTTTCATCATTAATTATTGAAATTCTTTGGGAAATCTGTTCCTGTGGTTCCTTAGCCAAAGATGAGTGGAATAGGGAGTATTTTTACTTTGCAGATATCATTGGCATAATTACATAAAAACGTGGCTTAAAAAGCTTAATTCTATTTATTTTTAAAAACTTAATCACCATAAACTGGCCCTCGGTCCTTGGCTGTAATCCCTGCCTGGTGAGCATCCAAGATCCTCAGGAATTGGGGGAAGTCCCCACTTTTCCACACATCCAAGATCCTGGAAGCTCTTCTTTCTCTGGAAGAAATATTCCTGATTTTTGGTGTGGTTTGTTACAGGAATTCTCCGTGGTGAGATAACTCGGGAAGTTCATTCCTCGTTTTACCTCTAATTCTTTCGGAATTTTGAAGGTTGCCCAGGTCCGCTCTGCTTTCTAACGTGGAGACAAATCTCAAAAAATCTCTGACCTTTGAATCCTTTGGATTCCAGGCTTCCAGGACAGCAATTTTGAAAGGAAAAATAGAGAACTTTCAGCTTTTGACAAGCCAGTTTTAAGTGTAAAAAATCAGATTTTCAAAGAAATGGAGAATTTTAAATTTAAGAAATGCTGCAGGACCCGCTGGGTGTTTCTGGGTCACCACAAACCAGCCCTTGGTCCTTGGCTCTAATCCCTGCCTGGTCAGCATCCCAAATCCTCAGGAACTGGGGGAACTCCCCACTTTTCCTGCCCCAAAACATATCCAAGAGCCATCGGACCTCTGGAAGAAATATTCCCGATTTTTGGTGTGGTTTGTTACAGAAATTTTCCGCGGTGGGATAACTCGGGAAGTTCATTCCTCGTTGTACCTCTAATCCTTTCGGAATTTTGAAGGTTGCCCGGTGTCTGCTCCCGCACTTTTCCTGCCCCAAAACACGTCCAGGTGCCATTGGATTTCTGTGGGGTGAGGATGGGCAGCTGGCAGGGAGCAGGGAAGAGGCCTCTGGAAGAAATACTCCCAATTTTTGGCCTGCTTTGTTGCAGAAATATTCCATGGTGGGCTAATTCCAGAACTTGAACCCCTCGTTGTATTCCTCGTTGATTCTCTTGGAATTTTGGCGGTTGCCTGGGTCTGCTGCGCTTTCTAAATTGAGGCCGAATCCCCAAATCTCTGACCTTTGAACCCGTTGGATTGCAGGCCGGGCAGCAGCGCTGGTGGGAGCAGGAGATCACGGTGAATGGGAACATCCAGAAGGGGGAATTGATCACCTACAACCTGACGGAGCTGATCAAGCCCGAGGCCTACGAGGTGCGCCTGACGCCCATCACCCGCTTTGGGGAGGGCGACTCCACCATCCGGGTCATCAAGTACAGCGGTAAGGATCCGAAATCCAGGGAAATGCGGCTTTGGGAATGTTCCGGGTCTCCCGGAAGGGTGGGGTTGTTCCCAGTCCTGGGATAATCTCTGGTCGTCCCAAAAGGAAAGGGAGAAACAGGGAGGGAGGAAAATCCTCACGTCTCGTAACAACAAAAAACGCCCAGCCAAAATAATTCTGGACAGCCAAAACCGCATCCAATTTTTTTGTGGGAAATAAGGGAAAATTGGAATAAATCAACTCAAATTTCATCAAACAGCAGATGTAGAGTTGACTCTTGTTTTGAAGGATGAGTTTGGAAGAAAAATCTGCAAACAAAGTTGGTTTTTTTCCCCCCAGAATGAGCAGTTTTTATTTTAATGTGAATTATTGTCCTTTAAAAAACAGCGACTCTTTGTGCTCCTATGCAAGATTATAAAATCTATAAATTTATATAAGAAATAATGGAAGTGCTTTATAAATTTCCCCCTAAAAGGTCACCATGACAAAGATTAATCCACTGAAATTTAATCAGAAAAAATACAGTACCCATACATCCTCTTTCCCATATTCCCAGAAATTCAATCCTCTGTTAAATCCCTCTAAATACCCATTTTGGGGTGTTTATTTCATGAATAACCAAATTCCTTCGTCCTCTCCTCTCCTC